ATATTAATTTACTAACAAAATAATGGGTAAATATTATTAATATTAAAATGAATAATTATTAACCACAATTTAAATATGCAATAATAATAGTGGTCAAGGTTTGGTCAAGGTGAATTTAGAAAATTTTTGTATTTTTCAAGGCGGTAGTCGATTAGAGTTGGCAACACTATATATAAATATTATTTAATTATTGCGTAAAACAATAATAAAAATAAAACCGGTTTCTATTGTTATAACTTATCAGTTGTTTCCAATTAATAGTTGGAAATTATTTAAATTAATGTATATATTTTTTTTACAAGAATTATAATAATTATGAATATTCTTTAGATTTGATGATAGATGTAGTATGCAGTATAGTATTAATTATAACTTTGCATTTCTGTTTACATAAATAGTATGTTAAATGTTTATATAATTCCAGTTGCATATTTAAATTGTGGTTAATAATTATTCATTTTAATATTAATAATATTTACCCATTATTTTGTTAGTAAATTAATATTTGAATGTACATCTACTTTAATAAATAAAGTACAAATATAGCACTTTAATAAAACAAATTAAACGCTATTGAAATATATTAAATATAGCCCATTTCCTAAACACAAATTACTTAATGCAAATATTGCACTTATAAACTTAAATAATTTACTTTAAACAATACATGTTACTTAAATTTATTGCAACCATCAGTAATTTTTTAATTAAGAAACATTTATAATAATTATAATCTACTGGTAATTTATCTATTAGGTTTGAACCGGGGGTGTTATATGCGGTTCACAGTTATCGACCGAAGTGTTGATGTTATCTTCGTATACGAAGGAATGGACACATGTTTTAATAATTAACTGTTTTATTGAGCGAAGGCTCTAAGAGTGTGAGCTCTTCGAAGTCTAGATAGACTCTGGTTATAGTACATGGTTTGAGAGGGTCTAATATAGTGGAATGTTGAGCTAATGTACAATATAGTATGACTTATAGATATACAGTAATTATAACAGTTGTTGAGTAGATAGTAATACAGTGTGAATGGAATTATACTAATGTATACAATCATATAAATAAATAGGAAAATAACAGGTAATGAGTATATACAGCCATGGGTAGCAGCGGTGCCTTTTGTTTTTGGCGCGAATTGTTTTGTGGTTAGTGTTTCCTGCAATACACTGTAAAGAAAGACATGAGTGTATTGCAGGAAACACTGCATTTCTAACAAATTCGCGCCAAAAACAAAAGGTACCGCTGCTACCCAAGACTGTAGTAATAAAGGGTCTAACCAGCCCCGGTTCAGGTTTAATAGTCTTTTGAATATTTAAAACATAAATAACTACAAATGTACATTTTAACTCGGAAAACTAACTTGTAAGAATTAAATGTGTAAATGTGTAAAAGCCGAACGATCCTATTAACCACATTATTCATACTGAATTGTGGTTAAAAATAATCAACGCCATATTAATTTATTTATAATTACCATGTTGTACATAATGATTATTCTTGGTATTTCTATAATGCGCTGTGTATGTCATCATGCCCACTATTGCTTATATAAGTATATTAATCAACAGGTTTGATATTTTGGTACTGGTAAGTTTGATATCATTTATAATAATGTTGCTTGCACACCTATTGGTATGCATTGGATTGGGCTATATTGGCTGGATATTGATAGTTCACTCGGTATTATATCCAACGTTTAAATTTCAAGAAATCCATAATAAATTACGTCTAAGTATTAGATTAGATAATAAACTGATGTTATTTAAGGCCATTATTGAACACAATTACTACGAAACACGTATCCGTGATTTAAATCTCACCTTCGGTTACATTATATTTATATTTTATTATATGTTATCCCTATTATTGGGTATTATTATATATGGTTTGTATAAACCGGGACTTACTTATACGATACGCATACTAGGATGGTATGTGCTTGTTACAACACTAACAGCATATATAATTGTCATGGTAATATTTTCACTTGTATCCAAATGGGCTCATAAACCATATAAACTAATGCTGTCATACCTGTCGGCAACAGCACCTGTACTGACCACTGCTCAAAGATTACAAGTTATGGTATTTATTGAATGCCTGTCCGGACCCACCATTGGTTTCTATTGTTATGATCTGTTTTCAGTTAATAGTTTACATTTATTTGAGTTAATCTATGTGTTTATCTCAAATAATATGATGATCACTAATTTATTGTAGATTAATTAAACATAAAATAAATTTTTAATTTTTTTTCGCATTTATTATTAAGTCATATATTTTAATACAGTGTAAAAATTCCGTTTAAAATATTAATATAATATATGGCATTTAAAAAAACTATTTTAAATATTTGTACTACTTCATTTTTATGTTAAACCAATATTTGTTTATACTTTTGTTTTAAGAAATAATAATGTAAAATACTCAATAAACCAAATTATATTAGTTGAAAAGTATTTATTAAGACTTACTTCCTGTATATTTGTTACACAATGCAAATAATTCATTTCTTGAAACACTTGATTTATAATAATTTATGCGATGTTAACATTCTACCACGGTAGTATGGTACATTGCTCAGCACTGGTATTAATTTTATAATTATGATGAAATATTTATGTTTTTTAATTATTAACTTATTTACATTGATAAATAACTGCAAAATTGACTTAATATTATTCCTTTAATTAACATAATATAAAATAAATCCAGTTTAAATTTATTAGTAGTAAATAATTTTATTAATTAAAATTTCAAAAACAAACTATGCAAAATTATTTTATTTATAATTTTAATTTAAACTTGTAAACTAAACACAAAACAAAATATTACACTATATGAAAACATTTAAATAAAAGCTCCAGCACACTTTTTTGTAATCTAATCAAAATTCTTATGTTATTACAACATAATGTTTATGATTTCAACCTAACTATAATAAAACTGTAATAAATAAATAAAATTAATTATTTAAATTAAAAATAATATGACTGTGACCTTGATCACTAACTTAAGCAAAATTCCAGCACAAGTACAAATAGCGTCCACCTCTACCGGAATTGATGTCGCTAGTATGCCTCTCGCCCTGTGCCTGTTCAGACAGCCACACATTGTTTACTTTACGGTGACCGCTATACTCCGTGACAATGTACCGGTATTTCCCACCTGTACCCTTAGCCAGATCCCAGTGAGCAGGATCGTTTTTGTCGTACAGGGGCCCATCAGCCGTTACCACGTGAAAACCGGTGGCCGCCTGTGTGTAGATAGGGGTGTATTCGGGCCGCAAGTATACAAACTCGCCTTTAAAGCCGGCGTTTATGTCCTCCAATAGGCAGCTATGGTTGTTGTACTGGCCGTAGTTGACCCACATGTATTTCACATACATTCTATTGTAATAAGGTAATTTATTATTATATGAATTGATTTAATTAAATGATAATAAATGATAAAAATATATAATATTAAATATAATACACCATAAATGAGTATAATATGAAATAGCAATAAAATTACATAAATTGTATTTTACATTAAAGATTAAAAATAGTTGTATTAAACATATTTTTATTTCAAAATAAAAATTGTGTAATTAATAGAAACAAATGAATTAGTTATTTAAAATAAAGTAAAATTAAAATTGTTAATTTACCTTTTGAAAAATCTATAATAAAAGTACCTTATGGTAAGAAATACAATTGCTCTTAGATTCCAACACAAGCCGTACAACACTTTATATATAATCCAGAAGATATTCATTGCAATATAAAATTGCCAATATTACATAGATTTATAGCAAATTTTGGTGTTTAGATACCATTACATTTCTATGGAATATATTTTTATTATTATTAATACAATTGCATTGCTTAGAGATGAATCAAAACATATAAACTTTCTAATTGTATTACTTTATTAATAATTTAATTTTGTAATATTTCTATGTTCAGTGCTTTTGTATTTATGATAAGATTAAATCTCCAACGAGTTAAATGAGTGTTGAATTTATTGTACATTTATAATATATTATGAATTAAAAGTAGAGATTTTATGCGGAACTTGAAATATTATTATCGTATATTATTTCTATAACAATGTTAAACACTTTTACCTTCGTTATTATCTAGAAATATAAATGTGATAAGAAGGTAATACATTACTAAATAATAAATCATGGGCCATGATTCATGGCTTATCGTTTACATTGTACAGGGTACATGGTAGACAATACTACATAATACAACTAAGATTGTAGTTTATATTTTATTAATTATAAATATTTTATTAAAATTTATATAATGTAAACTTATAAAAGTAAACAACTCGCACACAGCAGCAGGTGATACTTATAAAATAAATTAGGATTGTACACACATTTTATATAAATCCTATAAACACAACATTTTGTCATACGTTAATATATTGCTTTTTATAAAAATGAACAACATTTTAAATTAAAATGTGATTTTAGTTAGGAATTATTTCAATTAAACATATTATTTTGGTTAAATCAACATGATTATTAAATAATTATTATAGTATAATTTTAATTCTCTCTCCCACTTACTCACACATGTTTACATTTTTGATTACACAGATAAATAAAACATAAAGCAACATAATAAACACTTAAATACAACAAATAATATCATAAAATATTATGTAATTTATTATGTTTTCACATACAAAATAAACAAAGACAGTGGACTTATCTAATTATAATTGTCGCCACTCACTTTTGTTTATAATGCTATAATTATAATACAGTATAATTAATTTTCTAGATTAACAATTACAAATTAGCAGTATTTAATGCTATTATTTAATAAACATTCATTTTGATAGTTTATAACTAAAATCATATAAAACTGTATCCAACATGAATAAACTGCTTTTAAAAATGTTTAAAATAGTAATAATAATTTTTGTTGTTGTATTCACCACAAGAATATATGCTCATGGTAAAAATTGCTACACTTATAATACAAAAATATACTAAAAATATTGTTAATTAATATATCTAGTTCGATGTCCAAAGGAAAACAACTGTATAGATTGTATTGACATACAGGGGTGCGCATTTTGGTATTGTGGCCTAGATGATAAACGTAATTGTTAATTATTTTATCGTAATAATAAATTTAATTTTAATTTTTTAGAAACATCCAGCACAACTTATTGCAAAACAACCGGGAGTAAAAAGCCTAAAGATAAATGTGCTCACCATAATAATTGGCACAAGGTTGTGTCTGACGGACAAGTACAATGTATTTTATCATTAATTTTAACAAAATTAATTGTTTATAACGTCAAAATAATTATAGTTTAATAAATAGGCCCAGACACAACTGGTCACTCTACAGGTAAAAATGAATTGATGCTAAATTTACTAAAATCATTTTTAAAACACAATTATTTGTATGTAATTAAAATAAAATGTTGCCTATATGTAGACAAACCGGGGCCGCACTCGACACCCATTTCTATGGCCACAACAAGCAAAGAGTTGAGCGGTGGGGCCGTCGCTAGTATTGTGATCGAGTGTTTTGGGGTAACCGTTATATTATTAGCCGCTGCCTACAGGAAATGGTGGCCCGCATATAAGCATCGCAACCAACATCGAACTTTATCACCTGATTTGATTATATTATAAAAATAATTTTTAACCGCTTTCCAATTTTGCTTTAATTATTAAAATATATGGTAATTTTATCAATAAATACGAACACATTTACAGTTTTTAAAAAATCAGATTTATTTTTATTGATATAATTATATTGTTTAATTATTAATTAGTCAAGGTTATTACAATAAATACTTTTACAGTTTTATATTAAAAATCCTCTATAATATATAAAAATATTGCCTCTTAAAATAACATTTGTTTAAGTAAAATGATATTTAAATTCATGGTCATTTACTATAACTATAAAACTATAACTATAAACTATAGCCGGGTTGCCATCGGGGGGAGGGGGGTCAATGGGGGTGTCCAGCGGGATGTCCACTAACCAGGGGGTTGTCCTAGTTAGTATATAAATAATCTCACATGGTAATCTAGATTTTCATGATAAATTATTAAAATTCTATCAACATCGATAAACTTTATTGTCAAAATTAATGATCAGTCACATTTATAATTATTTAACTTAATTTCTCTTATTTAAGTTAATTTTGTTGATTAAATTGTTAAAAACATTTTGTAATTCTTGTTTTGTTAGTAATATAATCCAGTAGGCGAGATTATATTGCCAAAGTGATAAGGTTAATTGTTATAGTGTTGTTTATTACTGCATTTGCTACAAGTACATTTTGTTTAATTTAATTACTATTATTAGACAAATATAATGTAAATAAAACATACATTTAGGTAATATATTTATTATTTTCATAAATATCATTTAAGTAATTAATATAAATGTAATTGATATTGTAACCAAGTGTGATCTATTAACTTATAATTATCTATTACATTATATGGTTGTAAAATCAAAAATTGATTAAGAACTAATTTAGAGGTTTAAATAACAATAAGAGCAAGTTAAATTTTCCTAATAAAATTTGTTTCTAACCGCTTTCCAATTTTGCTTTAATTATTAAAATATATGGTAATTTTATCAATAAATACGAACACATTTACAGTTTTTAAAAAATCAGATT